TCAGGTGCTTCACGTTGAGCTTTCCACTGCCCACCTCCCAGAGCCCATCTTTTACACCTTGGTTTATACCAAGTGTACTAGGGTCGGGAGATATAACCTTTGGGACACCCTGCGTGAGATTGCCGAGAGATTGCCATGGATGGTTAGTGGCGATTTCAACATCTTCCTGCATCCTAATGAGTGTGTGGGTGGCCGTTCGGACCTGTCACAGGAGATGTGGGATTTTGCTCAGGCGGTGGCGGACTGTGAGCTAATTGACGCTGGATGTGATGATGAGCCCTTCACGTGGGTGAGGGATGGACTCAAAGAGAGGCTTGACCGTGCCTTAGTTTCTGAGGCGTGGGCGAAGGTGTTTGCAGTTACGACCGTCACACACCTTTACTCGATTTGGATCTGACCACTTTCATCCGGTGCCGATTTTCGAGCACCCCCCGCCGCTCTTCCTTTAGGTTCCAGAACTTGTGAGTACGCCACCACTCCTTCCACGACACTGTCAGGGATTCCTGGCTTCAGCCGACTGAGCTCTTTGGGATGCGCAATGTCGAGGCGAAGCTCGGCAGACTGCGGTGTCAGTTGAGACAGTGGAACTGAGATGTTTTTGGAAACTTTCATCAGCGCCTTTCTGCGGCTCAGAGTGCGCACGCGACGGCTAAGCGGGCCTATGACCTGGACCCCACTCCAGAGAATAAGACTGCGATGCACCGCCGCCACGCTGAGTACCAGCTCTGACTCCTTATGGAGAAGGACTTCTGGAAGCAGAAGGCGGCCGTTCGCTGGGTGGCCAAGGGCGAGCGGAACACTAGGTTCTTCCAGGGCTACGTTAGGCAGAAGCGTGCTAAATCGTACATCCATAGTATCGAGGCTGATGGGTCATCCATGACCCAGGAGGCTCAGATCCGGGAGTCGGCTGTTGCTCACTTCCAGACCCTCTTCACCTCTGACAGAGGGTCCCTCGTGGCCCCGACCGCTTCTTTCTTCCCCACCATCCCTCCTTCGGTCGATCTCATTGGCCTCTATGAGCTACGGAGTATGGAGGAGGTTAAGGATGCTGTCTTCGGGATTGATCCCAATAGCGTTTTTGGCTCAGATGGTTTCTCCTCTCTCTTCCACATAGTCTGCTGGGATTTAGTCGAGACTGACGTCAAGGAGGCAATGTTGGATTTTTTCTCCTGTCACCGGATGCCAGATTTCTTCACGTCTACCTCTGTAGTCTTGATCCCCAAAAGACCCAACCCGAGCTCTTGATCCGATTACAGGCCCATTAGCCTGTGTAACGTGACCAACAAGCTCATTTCGAAGATTCTTAACAGCCGCCTTTCACCCCTTCTCCCTTCCCTTATCTCTCCGAACCAGAGTGGCTTCGTCAAGGATCGGGTCATTAGTGATAACTTCCTCCTTGCCCAAGAGATGATCCACGACATCTCTCGAGCGGACGTGAAGCGGGCTCCGAATATCGCGCTGAAGCTAGACATGGCTAAGGCGTATGATAGGGTTGAGTTGCCGTTTCTTAGGGAAGCCCTGGCTACGATGGGATTTCCTAAGCGTTGGATCATTTTTGTGGAGGCGAGTGTGGAGCACTGCATGTTCTCGGTCCTGGTTAATGGCAGCCCCACCAATTTCTTTCCCTCCTCTAGAGGCCTTAGACAGGGAGACCGCCTTTCCCCTTCCCTAATTCCCACCGATTTCTTTGCCAACATGAGATTGAGATTGAGCAGGGCTCAGAGACCTTTATTCAGCGGGTGATCTACGAGAAGATCCCCACGTTGTGCACTTTGTGCAGTCATGTGGGTCATATTGCAGCTGATTGCTACGCTAGTGGCAATAAGCCACGACCCACACTTCCACAGCGCCACCGTGCGACTCAGCCGGGGCCCTCCACCGGACGGAGGGACCCGAAGGGAAAGGGCAAAAACCCTCTCTACCCGCCCGAGACCCCGAAGGGGTCTAAAGATTAGGGCAAGGCTGTGATTTGCGATACTGCCCAAACTGGGAAGGATGCTCATCCTAACCAGCCCAAGCAGTTGACCATAGTAGGGCCCAAGCCCAAGTCCACGGGCTTTCTCCCCAGACAAACCTTACAGTCAGCCTTTAAGGCCAACCACTCGTATTTTGCTATTCTCTCCCCAGAGGCAGAAAATGAGGTTGTGCTTTCCTCCAGCGGCCCACCTAGGATTGCAGACCTTACGCTACTGGAAGACGACGACCTCCTCGTAGACGACATGGACCAGCCGGACGCCTCGTCCAGGGGAGAGGCCATCCACCTAGCTGATGAGAGTGCGCGCGATGTCATTCCTTTGACTGTGTGCGTATCTAGCCCGGTCCGATCTTCAGATTTGAGGGCTACTGCCATCACCGCTACCCCGAAAGGGGATGAGTCGGCCCATTTTCTCTCTGCTGAGATTGGGAGCTCGGCTGAACATATAGCAGCTCGCACCCTCCTTCTGGCGGCGCGCACCCGAGTGCTCCGCCTGTTGGATCCTCTCTTTCACCTATCCTCGAGCAGGCATGCGGTCTTAACCGCGCTCAGCATGACGTCTCGTGCGAGAGCTTCACCTCTAGTGCCTTCGTTCACTACTACAGACAGGAGACAGCCCCGAAGATAGGGCAACCCGCTAGTGCTGCTATAGGTCAGACTGCCCAGCCAGACGACACACAGGCCACAAGCACCTACCGAGGCCGGCAGTCCACGAGGACCAGAGCCACGCAGCGCACGACACGACAGACGATCTCCCCTGCTATTCGATCCTTCCGCCACATGCTTTCTTCAGGTGGCCCGAATCAGCCTCGCCACAGGCGGACTATGTCCGCGACCGTTGACATGTCTATCACATCCATTACTTGGAATGGCCGTGGCATGGCGAATAGGGCTACTCTCTCTCACCTCCATTCTCTCATTCGTGATCACAGACTCGATTTTGTTGGCTTTATTGAGCCGATGATTCACACCCCTTCTCTTGACTACTACTCGCGTCGCCTTGGCTTCCACTCGGGCGTGGGTAATATTTCACATAAAATCTAGTTCTTTCACTCACGTGACTACACTTGTCGGGTCCTCCGCGACACTGATCAGGTGCTTCACGTTGAGCTTTCCGCTGCCCACCTCTTAGAGCCCATCTTTCACACCTTGGTTTATGCCAAGTGTACGAGGGTCAGGCGATATGCCCTTTGGGACACCCTGCGTGAGATTGCCGAGAGTATGGAGGGATTGCCATGGATGGTTAGTGGCGATTTCAACAATTTCCTGCATCCCAATGAGCATGTGGGTGGCCATTCGGACCGGACACGAGAGATGTGGGATTTTTCTCAGGCGGTGGCGGACTGTGAGCTAATTGACGCTGGATGTGATGGTGAGCCCTTCACGTGGGTGAGGGACGGACTCAAAGAGAGGCTCGACCGTGCCTTAGTTTCTGAGGCGTGGGCGAAGGTGTTTGCGGTTACGACCGTCACACACCTTACTGGATTTGGATCTGACCACTCACCCCATCTCATCCGGTGCCGATTTTCGAGCACCCCCCGCCGCTCTTCCTTTAGGTTCTAGAACATGTGAGTACGCCACCACTCTTTCCACAACACTGTCAGGGATTCCTGGCTTCAGCCGACTGAGCTCTTTGGGATGCGCAATCTCGAGACGAAGCTCGGCAGACTACGGCGTCGGTTGAGACAGTGGAACTGGGATGTTTTTGGAAACTTTCATCAGCGCCTTTCTGCGGCTCAGAGTGCGCACGCGACGGCTGAGCGGGTCTATGACCTGGACCCCACTCTGGAGAATAAGACTGCGATGCACCGCCGCCACGCCGAGTACCAGCTCTGACTCCTTATGGAGGAGGACTTCTGGAAGCATAAGGCGGCCGTTTACTGGGTGGCCGAGGGCGAGCGGAACACTAGGTTCTTCCAGGGCTACGTTAGGCAGAAGCGTGGTAAATCGTACATCCATAGTATCGAGGCTGATGGGTCATCCATGACCCAGGAGGCTCAGACTCGGGAGTCGGCTGTTGCTCACTTCCAGACCCTCTTCACCTCTGACAGAGAGTCCCTCGTGGCCCCGACCGCTTCTTTCTTCCCCACCATCCCTCCTTCGGTCGATCTCATTGGCCTAAGTGAGCTACCGAGTATGGAGGAGGTTAGGGATGCTGTCTTCGGGATTGATCCCAATAGCGTTTCTGGCTCGGATGGTTTCTCCTCTCTCTTCTACCAAGTCTGCTGGGATTTAGTCGAGACTGACGTCGAGGAGGCAATGTTGGATTTTTTCTCCGGTCACTGGATGCCGGATTCCTTCACGTCTACCTCTGTCGTCTTGATCCCCAAAAGACCCAACCCGAGCTCTTGGTCCGATTACAGGCCCATTAGTGTGTGTAACGTGACCAACAAGCTCATTTCGAAGATTCTTAACAGCCGCCTTTCACCCCTTCTCCCCTCCCTCATCTCTCCGAACCAGAGTGGCTTCGTCAAGGATTGGGTCATTAGTGATAACTTTCTCCCGGCCCAAGAGATGATCCACGACATCTCCCGAGCGGACTGGAAGCGGGCTCCGAATATCGCGCTGAAGCTATACATGGCTAAGGCGTATGATAGGGTTGAGTGGCCGTTTCTAAGGGAGGCCCTGGCAAGGATGGGATTTCCTGAGCGTTGCATCAGCTTTTTGGAGGCGAGTGTGGAGCACTGCATGTTCTCGGTCCTGGTTAATGGCAGCCCCACCGACTTCTTTCCCTCCTCTAGAGGCCTTAGACAGGGCGACCCCCTTTCCCATTCCCTCATTCCCACCGATTTCTTTGCCAACACGAGATTGAGATTGAGCAGGGCTCAGAGACCTTTATTCAGCGGGTGATCTACGAGAAGATCCCCACGTTGTGCACTTTGTGCAGTCATGTGGGTCATATTGCGGCTGATTGCTACGCTAGTGCAATTTGATGAGGAGAAGTGGGCTTGTACTTGGTGTTTTAGGAAAGAAGCCAAAGTTAGGAGCAAGTGCTGTTGGATTTGCAGTGGAAGACACTGCTTCTATGAATGCCCTGAGGACAAGGTGAAAGCTGCCCAGTTTATGGCCTTGCGATTGTATCATCTTGCATTTCCGAAGAAGTTTGGTTCCCCTATAAAGATTACTTGGCCGAAAGAGCATTGTCAAAGAAACAAACTTCTTTGAGATAATCGTCTATTGCCACATGCATCAGAAAACAAGGCAAACCTTTTTTGAGTTACTTGATATCTGTAATGGAAGCTAATGTAGTGTTAGACTGGAATTAGGGTAATGTAACTTTTCCAACAAGGCAAACCTTTTTTGAGTTACTTGGTATCTGTAATTGAAGCTAATGTAGTGTTAGACTGGAATTAGGGTAATGTAATTTCCTCTATTCTTCCTTTTGTTCAAGTTTCGCCAAAATCTGAAATATTTGCTTGTCGCCATGATCTTGCTTCGCTTAGCACCTGCTCGAGTTGTAATTGAAACATGAAACATCTTGGGCAAAATCAAAATATTGTTGACTGATGATGGTATATCTGTACAATTTTTGCAACAGTTGGAACTAAAAGTGTGTAACCAGTCTTTATAAATCATAATGACATTTGCCGCATAGGAAATCTATTTTGCAACATACAATTTTTGCTACAATTCAAACTAAAAGTGTGTAACTAGTCTTTATAAATCCTAATGACATTTCCCACCGGAAATCTATTTTGCAATATATAGAAACTAGTACAATACCTGTGTACTACACGGTTGTTGAGTTAAGGAATATATGATAAAAATTATTGTTAAAATGAATTTTTTATTTAAAAATTTTGATGGACTATTGATGAAAGAATAAAGAGGAATAAACAGTGTAGAAAGTGATTTGTAAATCGTAATTTAGGAGAAAAATTTGGGAGAAATTTATAATATGGTAAGATTACTACTTGCCCAATACTAAGAGAAAAAAATAATAAAAATTTAATATACACATACCAAGCTTGAAAAAAGTTATTTATGTCTAATACCAAACCTAAATCCAAAGAAAAAATGAATATATAAAAAATTATAATATGGTAAGATTACTACTTGCCCAATACTAAGAGAAAAAAATAATAAAAATTAAATATACACATACCAAGCTTGAAAAAAGTTATTTATGTCTAATACCAAACCTAAATCCAAAGAAAAAATGAATATAAAAACAATGGGTCACGCTCCGGTGAGAATGACTCTTAATGGGAGAAATAAGAATGAATAGTAGTCATTGGATCGGATGATCTAATGATTGAAAAAATATCAAAATTATAATTTCATCTATATATATAAAGAAGTTGTTGGAAAAATACATTAATAGAAAGTTTGATCAAATAAATATAATGTTTGACTTATTATTAATGGAAAGTTAAAAAACACAAGTGAATATTTAGTAAAAAATCTAAATCCTATTTTTTTTTTGTAACAAATTTAGAGATTTTTATGGCAAAATTTAAATCTCATTTTTTTCGTATCATATTTTATTTTTTTACCAAAATTTAAGTTATATTTTTTTTTTGTAACAAATTTAGAGATTCTTATGCAAAAAATATGTCAATTATTTATGAAAATAATTCTAAATACAAACTAATTTAAAAACCGTGCAAAGTGGATACAAATTTAGGAAGCAAATAGTTGTATAATTCTTAACCAATTCTTCCAATTTTATTGAATAATTTTTTCTTTCAAAAAAATTGTGTAAATTGGATAAAGCCGTACATAAAACTGATATTTGGACGGGATGTATATTCAAAATTGTGTCCACATTCTTTGGTAACAAAAGCGGTTCATCATTGATACTTAAAGTCACCTTATTCAATTATTTAGGAAAAATTGTGTGCAACTTTTTAAAATTTAAATGCATCAATTTTTTTGGATTCTTATGTTTTTTCTTAACCATGTTTTACCGAGATTTTGGTAAGTTCATATCATTTTTTATTTTTTATTTTTGTTAAGTTCATATCATTTTCTTTAGGAAAGATACAGTTGCATAAACATTAACAATTTATTTTAATTTTTTATTAGAATTATTTTCAATTCAATTTGTTTGGTACAAAAATCGGTGCAATGTTAGGAAAATTCGATTGTATTTTTTGGAAAAACTGATAATTCTTTTATTTGGTTTAAAAAAAAAAATCGGATCAATTTGTTTGATAAAAAAATCGGTTTATTGGTAGAAAAATCGGTCTCATTTCTAAGAGTAACTAATGATTCTTTTCAATTTTTCTTAATCGAAATTTAGAATTAGATTTTTTTTTTTTTTCCAACGACATAACATATCTCATATTAATCCATAATGATGGAAAATGTACAAATGGGATATCCCCAGCCTACAATACAGAGAGGCCATGCACAACTGCAGCCTAATCGAAACAGATTGAATAACCACATACAAAGACCTTGCCATACATGCTAATACATCAACAATACTAATGAAGGATACAAATGAAAAGAAAAACCAAAGATAACCACTGCCTAAGCCTAGTCTATCTCCAGTCATTCTATAAGAAAATTTTAGCTAGAATTTAAGAAATCCAGCCAATCCCTCATTGCTGCCTTGACAATCCAGAATTCAGGTTGATTCACCCCTTCAAAAACCCAAATATTCCGAGCCTTCCATAGCCACCACAAAATGTAGGTGGATAATTGGATTCTATGTTCAGATGTAGCTTTGGAGTTCATAGAACTGATCCACCACCACCACTGCTTAAAACTGATCTGCTCATGGCCAATTCTGTTCCATTGCACTGGGGCAATCTTCCACACTTTTACTGCTCTTTCACAGAGGAACAACACATGTTCCTGGGTTTCAACTGCTTCCCCACAAACTCTACATAAGCTATCAATGTCAAGACCCCTGGATTGCAAATTCACATTTACAGGCAAAATATTGTTTATACATTGCCATATAAAATGCTTTACTTTCCCTAGAACCTGCAAGTCCCAACATCTTAATCGAGCTTTTTTGTTATTCCCAGCCAAAGAACTGCATTCAGCCCCCTCAGACAAACACACTTTTGCAGCAAACAGAGTTTTGTAAGTACTCTTTACAGAGAATTTCCCTTTGTTAATGAAAGGACACTTCCATTGATCAGCCAGCAAAGGATTTAAAGTTTTGATATTCAGAATTTTGTCAGCATCATCCTCAGAAAATAAAGCTTTAACCAGGTTTACATCCCACCTACAACCCCCAGCAATCAACAGGTCTTTCACCCAGAACATTTGCTCATTTATAGAAACCTTAAGAGAAGGCTTCCCCCCAGCCACACCAGGTAGCCATTTATGATCAGACAGCTTTATACTAGCACCATTTCTAACCAGAATTGTTATTTGATCTTTGAGCACAGGAAGGACAGAAGCCCAAGATTTCCACAACCAGGAATCAGCATTTGATTTTTTCCAGTCAAAGATGCTAGTATCAGGGAAGTACTTACCTTTAAGAACTTTACTTGCCAATGAGTCCGGTTGTTCAAAAAGCCTCCATAGCTGCTTCAGAATCAGAGCTTTGTTCATAGTTTGAATGTCTAAGAAACCAAGTCCTCCATCAGCTTTTGATATAGTCATTTTATCCCAAGACTTCCAGTGAAGGCAGTGGTCTTGTGTACTCCTTTTGCTCCACCAAAATTTAGCCATCATCCTGCAAATGTTCTTACACAAGCCAACTGGAAGCAGAAAACAAGACATAACAAATATTGGCAAAGCCTGCAGCACAGATTTGATTAAAGTCTCCTTCCCAGCTGTTGATAGAAAATTATTTCTCCAGCTCTCAATTCTGCATCTAACTGAGTCCTCCACAAATTGAAAGGCTTCCATTTTAGATGCCCCAATCCCCAAAGGAAGACCAAGGTATCTAGAGGATCTTTTAACCACAACACCCCTCAGAATAGAGCTTATGTTATCAACCAAACCAGAGCCACAGTTGTTACTCAAAAACATTGAAGACTTGTGCAAATTAACACTTTGTCCTGTGAAACATTTATGCAAAATCTCCAACAACAGCCTAGCATGAACAACATCAGCCTTACAAAAAACAAGGGCATCATCAGCAAATAACAGGTGGGACAGCATAGGGCCTTGCTTAGAAATTTTGATCCCCTTGAAATGACCACTACTGCTTTTAAAATGCAAATAAGATGAGAGCACCTCAGAAATAATGATGAACAAATAGGGTGACAGGGGATCACCCTGTCTAATCCCCCTGGATGCTGTAACAAAACCACAGTTTTCTCCATTCAAATTGAAAGAAAATGTTGGGTGAGAGATACATCCATATATCCACTTCACAAAAGTCCCATGGAAACCCATTTTCCCCATCACTTTCCTGATACTATCCCATTCCACTCTGTCATAAGCTTTCTCCATATCCAATTTAACAGCCATAAAAGTATGGGGCCCAGATCTATGTCTATGAAGGAAATGAAATACCTCATGAGCAATCACCACATTGTCTAGTAAATTTCTACCCGGGACAAAAGTTGTTTGAGCACTACAGATACAAGAATCTAGACACCCTTTAAGCCTCTCAGCAAGAATTTTTGCCACAATTTTGTAAAGAACACCACACAGAGATATGGGTCTGTAGTTACTCAAAGATTCAGGATACAAGCACTTAGGAATCAAGGTAATTACTGTGTGCTTCCAGTTCTTAAGAAGTTTCCCAGTCAGAAAAAAACTTTTAACTGCCCTACAGACATCATTTTTAACAATATTCCAAAAGTGTTTAAAGAAATAGGCAGACATACCATCCTCCCCAGGAGCTTTATCAGATTCCATTTGAAACAGGGCCTCCTTTATCTCCACATCTTCCACTGGCTGAATGAGAGTGTTGTTAAGATCATCAGAAATAGAATGAGAAATATGCTGCAACATCTCTTCCTCCTCACTGCTGCCTTCAGAGGCAAATAGATTTGAATAGAAATCCTGCACATGGCCTACAATAGTTTCTTTGTTATCACACACCTCTCCTCCTCTGGTGACTAGCCTTTGGATAAGATTATTTTTCCTCCTCTGAGCAGTAAAAGCATGGAAAAACCGGGAATTTCTGTCCCCCTCCTTTAGCCACAAAGCCCTTGATTTTAGCCTCCAGTAAGTCTCCTCTTCCTTATGAGCACAGTCCAGATCAGCTTTCAAACTTCCCCATTCATCCCAATCCCTCTCCTGACCCCTACTTCTCAAAATCTCCAGCTTCTCAGTAAGACTTTTGACAACTTTCTCACTGTTTCTGTGTACTGGTTTGTGCCAAGATAGTAATGCCATTCTAGTATGTTTAATCTTCTGATGGACTTGAAACATAGAAGAACCCTCAACATCAATCTGCCATCCATCTTTGACTGCCTCTTGTGCACCTTCCATCCCAGCCCAAGATTTATCAAATGAGAACCTTTTCTTGACTCTACCAACTTCCATATCAGTATCAAACAGAAGAACATTATGGTCTGATGCAGTCCTATAAAAATTAATCACTTCCATCTTAGGGAAAGCCATCAACCAGTCATAAGATGCAAAAACTTTGTCCAGTCTCTCTTCAACATACCCATCCCCCACTCTATTATTGCCCCAAGTGAAGAAAGCTCCCTTTTGGTCTAACTCATGCATCCCCATATTATGAATAAAAGATTTAAATCCTCTGAAACTGGCCTCCTGCCTCCTCACCCCTCCTCTTTTCTCATCATTACTGATAATGTCATTCCAGTCCCCAGCAATAGCCCAACATCTACCCCAGTTATTCCTTGAGTTTTCCAGAAAATCCCATTGATTAACTCTCTCACTCCTATCAGTGCTGATATAAAAAAAAATAACCCAACACCACTCCCTCATCCCTGGCCCTTTTAGTTCAACCTGAATACAAAACTCATTTGCTATGATTTGCTTAATTTCCATATTAACATCCCACATAACTAACAAACCACCTCTGGACCCCCTAGGTTTCTCCAACTGCCACCTATTACCAAATCCCAATTTCCTGCAAACAGTATTAGTGAAGGCCCATGATTTTTTGGTCTCTGAAAGAAAAACAACATTTGGATGGTGGACTCTTAAAGAGTCCTTTATCTGGGAAATTGTAGAGGGCCCACCCAGCCCTCTACAATTCCACACCTTGACCTTCATTGATCACCTCGGGGCCATTTTAGGCTGGCCTTCTCCACCTTCAGCTCAACACCATCAACTTTTAGTTTTTTCTTATTTACCTCCTCCTCTGAATTCTTCTGCTCAGCATCATAAATAACCAGTTCCCTGCTTCTCTTACAGGGCTTAGAACCTTCACCACCGTTTCCTTTCTCCCCCTTTACCTCAGCCATCCTCAGTAATCTCCCTGCATTTGCATGATTTCTCCTCCAGGTAGCCCTAGACTTCCCCGCATCCACTACTTTTTCCTTGCCTTTTGTCACCATCACTTGACTTGGAGTATCACAGAAATTTAGGGATTCAGTCACCATCATAGCTTCATGTCCTTCCACTACAAACTCCATACAGCTAGGGTTTATCCCCTCATCTAATGGAACAATTTCTAATGGTCTGGATATATGAGTCATCATTTCTGCTCCCCCTTGATTCCATGCCTCCTTTCCAGCACTCTTAGTTGACCCTTCAGTCTGATTTTGTGCCGTCCTAGAAGGAGTAGCACTCGCAGATACTATAGACTCTTGATTCGAATTTTGTTTAGGTGGAACATTTTTATCCTCAGAGCTTGTTGCTTGGAAAGATCGGCCCCCGTGGTATGTCTCCTTTGCTTTGAGCCATTCCCCATACTGACCTTCTGCAGGCTTCCCCCTCTCTATATCCTCTGCCCTCCTTTTACACCCCCTATCCAAATGCCCTATCATGCCGCAATAGTAGCATAAATTTACCAACCGCTCATATCTAAACTCCACCATAGCACTTTGATCTCCCAACTTGACTACTGTGCATCTCGGAATAGGTTCATTCAAATTCAGTGTTACAAGGATTTTAAGAAAACTCCCCACTTCTCCACCCACTTTACAAACCACCACATTTTTAACTTTGTTGAAGATCTGCCCAATTCGCATTCCCGCTTCCGTGCTCATCCAGTTAAGTGGCACATTTAGTACGTGAACCCAGATGTTTATCTCCTCAAAACATGAATGATTGCTATTAAGCCCATCAATCCACTCGGTTAGTATAAGGTACTGGTTTTCAAACAACCAGTTATTTCCCGCAGCTACCTTTGCTTTATCCTCCATAGAAGAAAATATGAATTGGAAGAAATTTGAGCATATCTCCTTCACTTCCACCGATTGCTGCAACCGCCAAATACTTGTCATCGTGCGTTTAACACCCATAATACTAGCCGGTCTATCCCCAACCACCTTCCCGAACAGACTCCTCCCACATTCCACCTTGCTGGCTTTCACATCATCATTACGCAACTCCACCCCTCCCGCCTCCTTATCAGATAGAGAAAAGGAGTGCAATTTCCTTATTACATCACCACTCACGTCTTCCCCTACCTCCGATCCCCCACCATTTTCAGCCATCACGCCACCCCCGCAAACCCAAATGGAACCCTAAATACGAAAAAAACAAAATCTCCCAAAACAAACTCTCGCCTCCTACACTGGATTAATTAAACTCGGAATTACAGAAAACTTGATTATAATCCACCCTCCAAAAAGAGGAATAGAGCTCTCAACAAGATAATTTCACTCTCAACGAGAGAATTTCGCTCTCAAACGAGAGAATTTTGAGTGAACATTCAGAATTACATTTAAAATAAGTAATAGGTGAAAATCCCTAAAAAATTCTACTTTAATTTTGTTTAATAAATAAGATCCTTTAATTTTTTTAAAATTTGTTAACTAATAACTAATAATATGCAATTTTGGATAAATTCGAACACCTATGTAGTACTTTACGTGCCAAAGAATCAAATCAATAATGTTGTACATAAGGAAGTGTTTAATAACATATAAATTTCATTTTCATGAAATTTTTAATGGCATGAGACAATTTAAATATAAAAATACATTTTAAAAAATAAATAGGTAATAAATGCTCCCGTGCATCGCACGGGTACCGTACTAGTTAAGGGTAATAAAATCATTTATTCAAACACCAACTATCCAGTGGGCCCAGCCCCAATTATACAATTCTTAATTCCCACCCGTCGTCACAAACACCTCTCTCTCCTCTCTCCTCTCTCCTCTCTCTCTCTCTCTCTCCGTCACATCGTTGCCGCCAAGTGCGCCAGCCAGGCCCTCTCCTCCCCTCCTCCATCCTCCACCACCTCCGATCGCTGCCACCCCCTCCCGTTCCTCGCCCTCAGGCCCTCCGCCCCCCGCCGCAGCCACATCCCCTCATCCGCCCTCCACGACTTCGATCCTGCATCCGCCCGGTGGCTCCGCTTCTCCCAACTCCACCTTATCACCTCCGCCGCCGGACTCCTCTACCTATGGTCCTCTCCCGCCGCCAAAACCCCCCCAAAATCCCACGTCGTCTGCAACCCCCTCACCGCCCAGTTCAAAACCCTCCCCCATCTCGGCTACGTCCTCGTCGGCCGCCTCATCACCGCCGCCGTCGCCTTCGTCCTCACCGAGCTCGCCGTCCTCTACTACCCCACCGACGGCGGCTCCAGCCTCAATAGGCTCAATTCAAGTCCAATTTTCCATCAAACCCCCCGGCCCCATCCTTATCTCCGATTCCATTTGAAATCGACCAACAGAGATCAAAGAAAAGAGATTAGAGCAGATTGGAGATGGACATGAGAAATTGGATGCAAATCAATTTTATTTTTATTTTTTTTTCACTAACGCAAATCCAATTTTGGGGGTTGGTTTTTTATTTATTGAAAATTAGATAGCTTTGTGGTACTTAATTACAATTTTGTTGAGGTCAATTTTGCAATTTCATAAAATTTGAGTATTTTTAATTTAGTTAATGACCAAATATGTAATTTATATCAATATTCTAATAAATGCATATTAATAATAAAAAATGTACAATGTTTAAAAATTTTAATATGTATAATTTTAATACATAAGAAATATTAATAATAAATATATAGTATAATAATAAAAAATTAATAATAAATAATTTCAATTATTTACGTTATTTCGATGCACAATTATATCCACTAAATCTAATTTTCAAAAACACATAATTTATATGTGATCATAGTAGTGCACTTTATATATTAACACGTTGCACATGATAAAACATCAAGATGCACTTTATAAAACACTACGTTGCACTTTATCACCACACTCAACAATTAACGTCAATAGCTCCCGCCAACATACCACACAACATAAATCTATAAAACAAATCTACATAATACTTTAAAATCTATAATTTTATAATTTAATGATTGCACAATATCGAAATAAAAAGTTTCTTCAAAATTTTATATTTCGATTAGATTTTTTTTACATTAAAAAACACTATTATTTTGGCTTGAACTCATTTTTTCTCTATTCTTTTACATTAATTACTATAAATATAAATACTAAAATAATATAAGATATTAAAATAATACAAAATTGTTTATAATAACAAATAAAGTATAATAGTAAAAATAATAAATAAAAATCATTTTAATTATTTAAGTTTATTCGGTGAACAATTATATATAATAAAATTAGTTTGCGAATACATATAATTTATCTAGAAAGGTAAATTAGTACATTTTACATAGCGGAACGTTGCACTTTATAAAACAACACGCTGTATTTTATAAAACAACACGTTGCACTTTATCACCACACCTCACAATTAATGTCAACATCAGTCACCAAAATATTACGCAATATAAATCTATAAAATGGATCTAAATAATATTATATATCCATCACATCATCTATCCACAAAAAAACACAAGCATGTCAACATACCAAAATTTCAGTATTGCATTTTATATATCGATACGTTGTACTTTATACAACAATATATTGCACCATATAATACAACATGTTGCACCTTATAAAACAACATGCTGCTCCTAGCAAAATACGGTAATTATGCTAATTGATCGACTAATAATATTAGTTGGTTAAAGGTCGGATTTGTTTTTATATAAATAAATAAAATAATCGAACACGTCGAACTATATGAACAAATATACCGATTTTTTTATATTTTTATGAAAAATAACAGTATTTTTCTATCTATCTTTTTATATATTGCGAGTGCACCTTAGGGTTGTACAACTTGCACACAAATGTATGCCAGATTGCACCAAAATCAAAGGAGACCCAACGAACAGAAATTTTGTACAAACAATTTATATTTTAGTTCGATTGTTATTATTATTATTTTTATATAATGGTTATTTCACTTATTCAAATAACCAAAATAAAAAATAAACTATACTAAAAATACTAACTTTTATATATATATTTTTTTACATAATCGAAATAACCAAACGACCGAACTACACAGAAATTACTATTATTTTTAATTATTATATTTTGTATGTATGTTTATTTCAATAAAAACTATAAAATATTAAATATTAAATGAAATGTTAAAATGTTAATTTGTAGTTTTCATTAATTACAAATCCACCCGTGAACTCAATTGTAATTTATTAAAATTGTTGAAATTGCCATTAAGCCCCTATATTATATCAAATTTACAAAATCAAGTCATCATCATAATTTACAGATCTGATCATGGTTTCCTGTAACCGCCGCCGCCGGCGACGACGACGAAAAAAGGCAATCCTGTTAAAATACCATAATTCCTGTATTGCACTTTATATATAAATACATTGCACTTTATAAACAATATGTTGCACCTTATAACACAAAACGTTCCACTAATTCTAATGATCAAACGAATATATTAGTTGGTTAATGTCGTATTTAGTTATTGTTAAATAAACAAATAACCGAACATGTCGAACTATATGACAAATATTACCAATTTTTTTATTTATTTATTTTATTATAAATAATAATATTTTTATTTATATTTTTTATGTATTACGAGTGCACATTAGGGTTATACGGATTGTACATAAATGCTTATCAGGCTGCACAAAATCGAGCAATATCCAACGATCATAAATTCGATACGAATTTTTACATTTGGTATTATTATTATTATTATTATTATTATTATTATTATTATTATTATTATTATTATTATTATTATTTTATATATCGGGTATTTCGGTACGATGACATGCTTTTTTTATTTATATAACCGAAATAAAAAATGTACTATATTAAAAAATAATATTTTGTATATATTTTGTACAACAACGACCACGATTAACAAGCCTAAATTTTTTGATTGGAAATTTTATACTATTAATAATTATCTATTTTTACTTTTAATTTTTAAAAAACTGACTACACTATTATAAATATACATGATGAGTTAATTCAGTTATTTTGATTCAATCAAATTATTGACTGAATAAATTGATCATTTATGTTCGATTTTATTTTGGATTGTGATAAAAAAAAATAAAAAAATACCATCGATTCGAATGTCTCACAACCGTGCACATTTACTATCAAATCCGTGCACATTATTGTTGTGCAAATAGCACATTAGTGTCTCACCGGTTGCACATTAACATTTGAAACTGACCGAAATAATATTTTTGATTCGAAAATCATATGTTAGTTCAAATATAATTTTTGAATTTTAAAAGTTCGGTTATTTCTGTTCAATGTCGTCTTTAGGTTTTAAAATTTATTTATCACTATTTTTAAATTTATTAAATAATTTAGTACAAATATTTATCTCACTATTAATTTATGTTATAATTAAAGTTTAAATAAAATTAAAAAATAGTCCTAACATTAACCCTATCAAAGATTTAAAAAAGAAAACGTATGAATAGGACTAGCTCGGATAAGGAAGGCCATTAAATAATCACATGAGTTGAAGTTCTAGCAATGAGAAAGTATGAAATGCGGATCAATTCAAAACTCAACAAAAGCAGACAGTCAAGGACGGAAGGTAAGATAAATTCAATCATTTGATCTTATGATTTATTATGATCACTAAACATTCAAATAAAGAAGTACTCTTCCTGTCGGATACCATCTTTCGAGTCTCTTTGTGTTAATAGTTTTATTAGTGTCAGAATGAAACGATATGAAAATCATGAAAGCATGCACAAATCAAACTAGTTTAATTCGATTGTACCAAGAGTATTCCACATACAGATGCACAGAAAATGCATTATTTTCAGGCATTGAGAACTGAAGAGTCGTAACAAAAAGGAAGACACATTACATCTTAGATAAAGCATCGAAAATAAGTTGTGAAACACCCACTCCAATCCTCTCAGCTAAACTAACCCCTAAATCAATACACACCCAAATCACCCCAAAATTACAGTTCACCTTCCCAGCCAAATTACCTTTTCCCCAAATTCTAACCCACCAAAATCACTCTTCACCCAATTCATTCACAAAAATCAGCAATTAAATCAAAATTCACACAATATCAAACTTCCGGCTGTCGAAAAATCACAAAAATCACGCTTCAAAATTCATCAGCCCAAAAGCATTTCCGGCCGCCGCCACACATCTCCCGTTCAGGTCGTCGGCGAGCTCGTCCAGTCAAGGTCGCCGACCCTCTACTATTCCCGATTCGTCCTCGTCTGCAACACCCAGATCTACCGTCTCCCTCGCCGTCAGTACAATCGGGAGTCGGGACGTTCGACTGACGGGCTGAGCGAGATTGAGACAGGGGCAGGTGACGATGGTGGCGGTGCTGGGATGTCTGGCGGAGATCGACGAGATGGTAGCGGCGGCGACGGCGACTTCGTGCAGCGACGGTGAGATTGGGCTAATGGCAATGGCCGGTGGTTTGTGGTGGGTTGACTCCGGCCATGTCCGGGAGGAGGGGAGGTGGAGGGCACTGATGGGGATGGCCGACGGCGCTCGCCATGACGGTAGCGGCGGCGGCGGCGGTAACCGGTGATTTGGGGCTGATTTTCGGCCGTGCCCGCCGGAGTGTGTGTGTGTGTGTGTGTGTGAAATTGTGTGTAGTGTGTGTTTTTATGTGCGTGCAGGTGAGAAGGAGATAGGCTGAGGAAAGAGAAAATATGGAGTGGAGTGATTTTGTGAGTGGGTCCCACCTGATATTTATATTTACTAACTTACCCTTGTTATTGGTCAAACACACATAATGACCATAACATGATAAACAATTACTAAATTGTCATTAATGATTGACCATAATTTGACTTCATCCTAACCATTTATATGGTGGATCAAATAATCCAGACTCATTCTTATTTCTCGGATTAAGAGTCATTCTCATATGATCCTTTCTCTATAAACAATATTACAAATCATAGATTTTCATTATGTCAATATCCGAAGCGTGAGAATTTGCCAAGTTCAACATGTTTTGAATTAATACATAGGGAGAGATGTAAGTCACTTAAATTCAACATGCTTTGAATTAATATATAGGGAGGGATGTAAACAGGATAGCCCTGCATCTAAAAGAAGTCATGATTTAAACAAACTAGCAATAGACGAACTTCATAACAAATATTTGATAAAAATTCTGAAATTATAAATTCAAATGCAAAATTTTGATTTTCAATATACACCATTTAATCTAAAATATATTTACATAATTGTAGTTAAATTACATTCAAAGAATAATATAAAAAAGAAATGTTGGTTGGAGCTAATCATGTATCCAAATATTGTCAAATAACATGTTCGTTGAGGTATTCTATATTTATATACCCATATATATAAAGCATTCCAAAAATTAAAAAGAAATA